CCCACAGCCAGCACTACAAGGATACCCAATAATCTTGTATACTTACATGGGGAATCAGATGTAGTATGGCATCACCTGACAAAGTGCCCACAGCCAGCGCCACAAGGATACCCAATAATCTTGTATACTTACATGGGGAATCAGATGTAGTACGGCATCACCTGACAAAGTGCCCACAGCCAGCACTACAAGGATACCCAATAATCTTGTATACTTACATGGGGAATCAGATGTAGTATGGCATCACCTGACAAAGTGCCCACAGCCAGCGCCACAAGGACAGCTAATAATCTCTTATAACCTTCTGGAAATCTACGAAAGACCGGAACGATGAGAATACCACACAAAGACACCAGGCTAATGATAGTTATGGAGAGTATTCCATAGCCCCATACTGAAAAGAAAAACAATGATAATATCATTTGTCAAAATTACGTCACATGACTACGGTAAAAATAGAACAGACATAATCACTGAAACACAGATCCAAACAACATAACCAGCCCCAGAAGTTGTGAGTACCTGCTTGCATGTGCCCTTGAAAAAAAAAATTGTTAATAACTTTATTTAAATAATCGGGAATACTCCTAATCCTACATGTAGGATGCCCAATCACATTGCTCATTTACTATCATGTGACCTTTGATGTCCAATCACATCACTAGTTTACTATCAGGTGACATTTGGTGTCCAATCACATTACTAGTTTACTACCATGTGATTTTGATGTCTAATCGCATCACTAGTTTACTATCAGCCCTTACCAAATAAAAAACTGTTCTGGTATACCTTACGCATACCAAAGGTACACTATAAGTATACCAAATTGATTTAGGTATATTTCAGGTATACCAAAATACTACTTATTTGAAAACTTGCTTCTGGATAAATATACTTAAAATGTACCTTCCAATACTGAAGTTGAAGTGGTACACTTTAGGTATACCTTTGAGCACAGCTATCATGCAAAGTTTAAAATTGGTATATTTCAGGTATACCATATATGTACCTATTTCCAACTTTGCATGTGGACAGTCGATTTGAGTATACCTGTTGAGTTCTTTTGTCTGTTTGTTTTGTGAGGTTTATCAAAGGTATACTCTTCGAAATAAATGTACCTAGGATATACTTTCCAGAAATAAATACACCTAAGGTATACTTCTTCCAAAGAGGTATACCCAAAATATACCCATCTATGTGCCCAATTCTGGACTACTTAAGGTATACCAGTTGTTTCATTTCCGGTACACATTAGGTATACCTAACTTACGCATGCAGAGCGTACCTTGGGTATACTTTCAGTATACTTGATTTTGGTAAGGGTAACCAAGCAGCCTATTGGCTGAGATAGCTCCGCTGTTAGCAATGCACATTTCAATTAAAGAACAGAAAGTATCATTAAAAAATGAACAATATGTATAGTATCAAAACAATCAGACTTGCGGTTTTCAACAAGATGTGGAAAATATCACTTTTTACCAAAAATTACAAAAATATTCATCAAAATTAGAGAATTAAAGATATCATCATGAAATGAACAAATCTGAGAGAGGTCCACATGTAGTACCTATATATATGTAATATCAAAGGAATTGGACTTGCGGTTTTCAACAAGAAGTCGAAAATATCACTTTACCAAAAATGACAAAAATATTCACCAAAATTAGAGAATTGAAGATATCATCACAAAATGAACAAATCTGAGAGAGGTCCACATGTAGTACATATATATGTAATATCAAAGCAATTGGACTTGCGGTTTTGCAACAAGAAGTCGAAAATATCACTTTTTACCAAAAATTACAAAAATATTCACCAAAATTAGAGAATTAAAGATATCATCACGAAATGAACAAATCTGAGTTAGAACCACATGTAGTACCTATATATGTAACATCAAAGCAATTTGACTGGAGGTTTTTAACAAGAAGTCGAAATAATCACTTTTTACCAAAAATGACAAAAATATTCACCAAAATTAGAGAATTGAAGATATCATGAAATGAACAAATCTGAGAGAGATCTACCCCAGTTACATATACACCAAGTATCAAAGCATTCAGGCTTGTAGTTTTCAAGAAGAAGTCAAAAAAGTAAAACATAGACACGGACGACGACGGACGACGGACAATCACTCATATGATAAGCTCCCCTCGACAAAGTCGACAGCGGAGCTAAAAACTTAAAGGAAACATCAATCCAAACAACATAATGATCCTTAAAGAAAAAGCTCCACAAATGTAGGAGAATGCAATCATTTTCTCAATTTATGACAACAGATTCTATGATGTCATATTTTACCCATAATCCTTTGCTTGAAAATCAAGATGGCTGACTACATAATACTGATGAAAAATTGAATATCTAGAGAATGAAAAGTGATATAAAAAACTGTAAATTGTGTTAAAATTGGAATTTTCACATTCACAAAAAGCATGCTAAAATTAACCCATACATCATCTGAAAGCTTAGATATTGGCACATACAGAAGACCATATGCTGTACTAATGTTTGTTTTGGGAATTACCAGATGGTAATTTTTTGTGTTTTTTTCACCATTCTAGTCAAAAGAATGACCAGTAAATTACATAGAACGTTGTTACTGCTATAAGCTAGAGGATTGCGTTTCATTTTATCTGTGTTTGTCTTCTAGCTATGACGAAAAAACAAAAGACATGCTAGCAAAAATTTGTTTCTGGTAAATCAGGTATTTGATAGGTTACAAACTAAATATTTTTTTGTTTGTTTTTTTTGTGTTTTTTTTCTTCGAATTATTCGTTCAAGATGATCTCACCTTTATTTCATTGACGTAAACTTTAGAATGACAAATTTGTCTTGCAATCTAAGTTCAGTGATGTGACCCAGCATTAAAAGAATGACTTGATTCCCCATAATGAATTGCATTATCAACCTTAATGACCAAGGCTAACCCAAACTTGCATATTAACGAGGGTGTTACTCGTCAGCCACAAATACTTTATAATTGGAGCGCTGCTTCAATTCCCCTCACATTGGAGCGCACAAATCCCTCTCATCTTTGTCTAATAACTTAATCTCACTCATACATGCTTGTCGCTACAACTGTAAAATATGTGTTTAAATAGCTACATGGCATTTTAGCGAATTTGACTCCGTGCATGAATTAAATGAATCTTATTTTAGCTAAAGTGTCAACAATCTCATTGTGAGAATAAATTAGCTACATCTTGAATTAGCAAAATTACAGATTAGGTAAATGAGCTAAAATAACATGCTAGCTAAAAAGACATGTCTTACAGTATTATTTATTAGTATGGGTAAATCATTCTAGATCTTAAAAAAAAAAGTGTAGACATGTCCAGCGCAATAACAGCGGTATTTTAATTTTGCGATTCAAAAAAACTTACATGGGGGCTTTGTTGTTGGGCTTAAGGTAGCGAGAGGGGAAAAACTAACTGGCGAGGAAAGTCCTAATCTCAATTAAACTATAACTTGTGTTTCCGCTCTCGCTACCTCAATAAATGACACATGCCAATGGTCAAAATAAGTCACATTTTAATGATCTGGTACACAATAAATGGATTTTCAGATTTTGTGTGGTTCTAATAAAGCAAATACGGTACTATAAACCATTATATTATCGTCCCCAGAAATTTCTGCGATTTTAATACTGTAAAAGGATTAATTATTCACTGGGTTTTTTTTAACTTTGCTTATTTCGCTGACTGGAAAATGTGCTAAATTAAAACCCAGTGAATATGTAAAATTTAGCATAGAACACATTATCTAAATAATAAAATCGTGGATTTAAAACCCACTGAATATATCTGACATGATGGAAAGAGTTCCTTTTGTACCCCCCATCCCTATCCCTAACTGTACCCTCCAGCACTTCCCATTTAATTGTATATGCCCCTCTTAAGGACATCTACAGTTACTAGGGGGGTATATACAAATGAATTGGGTGACTGTGAGTGAGTGTTAGAGTTAGGGTTAGGGATGGGGGTTACAAAAGGAACTCTTGCCGACATGGTAAATCAGTGAAAATTTAAACCTAGTGAAAATTAGTCATTTTACAGTAATTCATGTTTTGCAAAGGAAAAATAAAATACACATACCTTAACTGGACTTAAGAACCACCAAAAAAAAAAAAAACAGTCAGTGGAATTTCATAGCTAATGTAATAGGTGATTTCCCGTTCAACTGCGCGATCTCCCAAGATGCATGAAAGACACACGTCGAACGTCTGCCGCAAAAATCGAACGATTTGATTTTGAACTCGAATTTCTTTATTTCGTACCTCACATCGACTGGCCGATCTTCGACAGAGGAATATTGCTTCTGAATACCCTTACTTAATTGAAATTGCCTATCATCAAATGTGGACAGCACATTATTAAGCATGGAAATGTTCCCAAGAATATTTTCACGTTTGTCGAATCCCACGCGATGTTTGACGCCACTACGACCTTTGTTTGTCCTGTTTTTTTTATGTTCGATTTCACGCATAACGCGTGATTCTCGCAGTGAACGGAAAATGGTCTATTTGAATGTTAATGACTTACCATGTGGAGGAATGTCTGTAAAGTTGTCCTCATTTGCATATTCATCAGAATGATCACGGTCGTTTTTGTGACATGATTGGCTCTCTAGTTGCTGTATTAAGATTGGACATATCTGAATGAAAGCTGATTGGTCAATGGTATCTTGATTGCTGTTGCTATGGTAACTGGATATATCAAAGTATCTCTTAGGCATCCAGCACTAAATCAAAAATATGAAGAAAAAAAACATAATAGTTTTATACATCAACAACAATGAAAGTGTTCAAAAGTGTTTAACAATGTGTTCAAAATTGTTACAAATTTGTTCAAAATTGTTACAAATGTGCTTGAAATGTTACAAATACAATGTGTGTTAAAAAGTGTTACAAATGTGTTCAAAATTGTTACAAATATGTTCCAAAGTGTTACAAATGTGTTCAAAATTGTTACAAATATGTTCCAAAGTGTTACAAATATGTTCCAAAGTGTTACAAATGTGTTCAAAATTGTTACAAATGTGTTTGTAATATTTCAGACATGTTCAAAATTGTTACAAATATGTTCCAAAGTGTTACAAATGTGTTCAAAAGTGTTACAAATGTGTTCAAAATTGTTACAAATGTGTTTGTAATATTTCAGACATGTTCAAAATTGTTACAAATATGTTCCAAAGTGTTACAAATGTGTTCAAAATTGTTACAAATGTGTTTGTAATATTTCAGACATGTTCAAAATTGTTACAAATATGTTCCAAAGTGTTACAAATGTGTTCAAAAGTGTTACAAATATGTTCCAAAGTGTTACAAATGTGTTCAAAATTGTTACAAATGTGTTTGTAATATTTCAGACATGTTCAAAATTGTTACAAATATGTTCCAAAGTGTTACAAATGTGTTCAAAAGTGTTACAAATATGTTCCAAAGTGTTACAAATGTGTTCAAAATTGTTACAAATGTGTTTGTAATATTTCAGACATGTTCAAAATTGTTACAAATATGTTCCAAAGTGTTACAAATGTGTTCAAAATTGTTACAAATGTGTTTGTAATATTTCAGACATGTTCAAAATTGTTACAAATATGTTTAAAATGTTACAGCTGTTTCAAAATTGCAATCCTGGGTATTTTATGGATATTTTGGACTGTTAATAGTTTTGATAACTGAGAACAGAAAATAAAAATGGCAAACATTTCCCATATACATCATAATGTTATATTTTTACTAAAATAAACTAATCTTGGAATTTTTAGTAAATTTAAAACTAAAATTTACTTCTGTACATTACTTTTGACAGAAAATAATTGTAATCAGCTAAATAAAGAAGTTTTTTTGTTCTTTTGTTACCAGGTCAGCCATATACCACCTGTCATTTTAGACAGACTTTCCATAGTTTAGAAAGGTCAAAAATTAGATTCAATATGCTACATTTCTATAAACCTGTCAACTTTTGATTCAGAATCCCCGGATTTAACAAAATAACTATAAATATTTAAGTCTCTGTGTTCTTTTGTTACCTTCATTTTAGACAGACTTTCCATAGTTTAGAAAGGTCAAAAATTTGATTCAATATGCTACATTTCTATAAACCTGTCAACTTTTGATTCAGAATCCACTGACGGACGGACGGATGGAATAAATAAATAAATAAATAAACAAATAAATAAATAAATAAATAAATAAATAAATAAATAAATAAATAAATAAATAAATAAATAAATAAATAAATAAATAAATAAATAAATAAATAAATAAATAAATAAATAAATAAATAAATAAATAAATAAATAAATAAATAAATAAATAAATAAATAAATAAATAAATAAATAAATAAATAAATAAATAAATAAATAAATAATAATAGACCAGCAACTACAGCTTTCTTTTTAAAATGAATTCTAGACAATCAGGTTCCTTTCATTTCCTGGCTGTAACTCTGCATGTTACTGTTAAATACTTTATTTTAGCTTAAATTAATCTTCGCTGAAAAGACATTTTGGGTGTTTTGTATGGATTAAAAAAAAGGTATATTTGCTGGATTTTATTTTCACTGAATCATCATTGCCAGAAATGGACAATAGAATCTGGTCAAGTCAGGATTTCCTGTCTACCCCATTGCAGTGACTATAATTACATACAAAATTATTCAAGACAACTGATGGTGTCACAGATTTTAAAGGTCTATTGTTTAGCCTAATTGAGAGTCTATTGTTATGTTAAGTAGTTCACAGCTTGGGGTTGGAAACAATAGTAAGTGAGGTAATCTTTTGTTATCTTTGTTCTGTGCCCACTTGTATTTTTAGCTGATCATATGAAGCCATGTAATAAATGGTGTTAGTTGCCAGAGGACGAGATACCCTTAGGTACACTCTTATGATGGCATTGAAGACAGTCACCTACTATATACTTAATACAAAAATATGTGAACAGACTAAATCTTGTAAATATAATTGTGGTCGTCAATGGCGATTGGTATGCAAATTACGTTTGTCTGACGCATTACAAAATAAAAGTCGAGACTGTTGTGGAATAATACACAACTCATGGACAGACAGTGTGCTGAAACCCCTCTTTTATAAAAAGGAAAAACGGCCGATACAATATATTGATCTTGTGGTTTGACCATCAGCATCAAAAGCATTATGGCGATAGTGGTTCGCGTTCGAACATAAAACGAACATAACGGACATAAAACAAATCTTGATTCAGGTTACTTCCTGTTGTTAATTGGATTAAAACAGTTATATTTGCTAACAACTGGATCGTACATCTGTGTAAAAAAAATGCATGAATTTCAACTCGAATTTGGGCAGCGAATACTGCGTCTACAACTGCGTTGCCGTGTTCTTTGAACCAGAGAGTATCCAGAACGAAGCAAACAAACTTGAACAGTCACCAGCGTTACTGCATTTTCTTATTTGTAACAAGTCATTGAAAATGACACAGTCCCCGTTAAGTTCTCTTTGTGCTCGTCATATTAAAGCGGAGGGGTTGTCGCGAGCGTGTCCTTGAAACTTGAGTTCCAAGTGGCGTATACAACAGATTGTTTATTTACATCAAAACACGTGTTTCGTGTCATAGTAATATGGCCAAAATAAAAACAGCCGTTATTCAGCCATCTTTGATCCGATTATGAAACACACTGACAGTGTAGGAAATTTGTCCAGATTACATACCAGACATCAGGGCTGGTAACTTTCAAAAGTTACAAGCCCTGCTAAAATGTTACCAGTCCCGCACATTTTTTTCAATTATTTTCGCACACACACACACACAAATAAACACAAATTGTATACAATATACTATGCACGGTTTATTTTAACAACAAAGTAGCTGTAGAGAACATGCATATTCAGAACATGATATATCAGACGTCTGTGTCACTGTTGCTTTCGGCTAGGTCAGAAAAATCTGAACCATAGTCAGAATCTAATCCAGCTACCAAATGAGCATCACCATCACCATCTGTTTCAGCTTCTGCAACTTCATCCTCATCAAGTGCTTCAGCAGCTCTCTGCTGCTCTACTGCCTGTATAGCACTCAACTTCTTTCTCCTCTGTCCTTCCATAAAACTTGGTTTTTTAAAAAAAATTAGTATTTATTGATTTTCAGCTCCCAAGTGACTGTGGGTGGAGCATTCTTTGCGTCGAATATCGAT